CCATATTGAAAAGCGGTCCTAATATTTTTTCCTGCTTATAGATGTAAATTGGTGAGTGTAGGGAATAGCTTGGATTCAGTTAGCTTAGTTAAGTCTAAGTACCTCCAAGTAACACTTTACTATATCTGTGTCTGTGCATGTATTTGAAGCTGTCATGCTTGATCTGTCTTTAGTTCTCCATCCTCAGTCTCTGTTATCAATCTGTTTGCTGCATTGTGTTTGCAGATGAATATGCTGCTACGGCTGCAGGAGGCAGCTAACTATTCCAGCACACAGAGCTGCGACAGTGACAGCACCAGTCACCATGACGACCAGCTGGACTCCTCACTGGAGTCGGCACTATGAGAGCGAGAGCTGCGCTGGGACACACTGCACCCTCAGACCCCACGAACCGGGGAACATTTGAACCTCCAACGCTGTCAGATACGGAGTAGTGCGCAGATCGATGACATGTGAAAAGTTTTATCATCCAAAATGTTACATCCATCATTTCACAGTAAACACCTATTTTCTACATAAGGATAGTGCAATATTAAATCACATTATTATATGGAAAACAATCATTCAGGTTGGATCATTTATATTTCGCTGACATCAAACAGAGAAGTTAGTGAGTAATCTATAATGGATGTATCACATTTTAAAAATACAACTTTTCAAATATCTTTAGACGGGGCTTTTCTCTGAAGTTGAATTCCAAAGAGTAAAAGGTTTGTGCTCAGCCGTGACGAGCCACTGTTTACTCTCCACGACCTCAACTATGGTCGTTAAAGTGTCAGAGAGAAGGGGAGAAGGTCGACGTGACAAAACTGGATTTTTGTTCCGTTAAAACCCAGATTTATCTTTAGATGTTTACAAGGGCGGGGACAGGTTCTGTTTCTTATGTCTTTCCTTGTTTAAAGAGGTGCTTCACACACAAACACACACATACACATAAATGCACTTATAAACAGGCAGCAGGGGGAGATTTTCCTTTAATCAGAGGCTTTAATCAGTCCGAGCCTTCATTTGACCAATAATCCAGCCTGCCAAAGTGTCCTTGAGCAAGGCATGGTACCTGTAACACCTCTGAGGTACCTGATGTCCAACAGGAGGAGGACAACACAGTTTTTGGGGGGGGCTATACAGCGCCCTCTGGTGGCTATCCTGGAGGCTCTTAGCTCTTAAAAATTGAGTTAATCACAGCATCAGATTGATTTTGTCAAAGACCAGCAGTTTGTTGCAGTTTGCTGAACTGGCTTCACACAAGTTACTGATTTAGAGTCAGGTCGGGCTGAAGAAAACTTTTTTGTCTCGTTGTTTAATACTATCACCTTTTTGTGTCTTTGCTTTTTCTAAACATAAATTGTGCAATTCTGTGTTTCCATGATGGCAAAGCCTCTACACCTCTAATGTTAGAGTCACAACGCTAACATTATCATAACATACTGGCATACACACACACACACACACTCATGCGTCCCTCCAGCTCAGTGGACAGCTGAGCCTCACGGTGCTGGTCTCCAGCCCTGAACCTCGTCAGTTTCAGGCACTGCCAAGCCGCTCGCCGCTGCCCTGCACGCCAACAAGCACAACCAATGTTTGTGTCATCCAGCCACATCGCTACTGTGAAGAAAAAATGGACGAGTGCCAATGTTTCTCTTTGATTTACTGCCAAATACACACACACATCACACACTCACATCACACACACACACACACACTCAGACACAGACTTCCCATCACAATGCAGAAGCGACCGTGGTTGTAGACTTGGATGAAGTTGTTTGAGCTTTCCTCACACCAGAAGCATGTTGTCACAGCGCTCCCTCTTTTGATCAAACACACAACTGTATCAGTTGATCATTTGCTAAGCTCCTCCCCCAATCAATGATTGTCCAATCACGTCTGTCAAGCTTTGGACACTCAGCATTGGAACAGTTTTAGGGTGGTGTCATTTTTGAGCTTTTCCAAAACCAGAAACACAAGAGCAAAAGTGCGCATGTCTCACTACCTAGCTTAACCATGTGAATAATATGAACCACTGTGCTAATAAGCTTATATACGTAAATCAGTTTCTGCAAGTGGGCTTTCCTGGGACGCATGATAAAGCATGATGTAACGTATGCAGCTGCCAAAGTGCACAGTCAAGACCAATTTTACACGATGCCATGAAAAAGTCATGAAAATAGCGTTGGCTTAAGTAGCTGCAGCTTTATATTAAAGAAAATACTAATTTCACATAATCTAATTTACTAATTTCAAGTGTTATCCTTGTCATTGTAAACTGCGGAGGTGGAGAGCTTGACAGACATAACAGTATCTAAAGGGGGTGGAGCTTAGCAGATGGTCCGAACAAATGGCTTAATTTCCTGTGACAACCGAGCAGTTAAAGTTGGCTGCAACAGAGAAATCTAGAAAGTAACAGGAAAACAGAAGAGTGATTATTTTGAGTTAAATCTCGGACACTTTAGTTAACAGTAATAATTGAATGATTGAAGCTGACAATGTCCTGCTTGAAACAGTCTGGAACCCATTTGAGAGTCTCGTTCAGCATCCGCATTCGTCTGGAATCCACGAGCTACAGAATCAGAGAAATCAAAATTACTTCAGCTCAAGAGCTGAATAAGGGAACAATGATATTGGTGCTTTCTCACTGCCTTAAATGTGCAAAAGCATCTCCTCCTCCCATTGGCTGTAGTGAGAAAAAGGTGAATGGCGACGATTCGCTTCCCGTTCCGTCAAAGATGCTGCTTGTCATCTTTAGTTCGTGGTCACTCCCTCTCCCTCCAAACCGCCCTTTCTCATTTCTGACAGTCAAAGTATAAAAGAGTTGATGCTGTATTTGAATTTAAAACTGACCAGTATTGTAAAAACATTTAGAAAGGGGGACGGGGTGTTTTTTAGTTGTTTTGCGCCCAGTTGAGCTGGGCTCACTTGAACAGACAGGAGCACAACCAAATTGTTTTGGGGTTTTCTAGCCTGATGAGCATGTTTTGAAGCTTTTTAAAGGGGATGCATTGAGAAGAGACCTTTACCTTTATGTATGCGTGTATTGGACGGAAGCCATTTTGAATTTCGATTGTCCTCTCTTTGTTTAAACGAGTGGGTTGGTTTTGCACACTTTGAGGTCGGGGTGGGTTGTAAATACTTAAGTCTTGCACAGTGAATCAAAGATGCATTCTGCCCTGTTGATGTTACAATACGCTTAACCCGCTGAGTAAATTATTGTACTTAAAAAAAAAAAGAGAGATGCAAAACCTCAACACGCTGTCAGAAACAGTTGTGTGTCTTGTGGTGATTGGATGTTTTGCCGATGCAGGCGGCATACGGTGTACAGTAGGAACTGTTTGTGAACTCACTGACATCACAGACTGAGAACAAAAAAAAGAGGCACTTTTCCCCTCATCCTGCCATAATATTCTCTGGCTCCTCTCTGTCTATACGAATGCCTGTTGTTTCTTAGAAGCACTTCCTCCGTGGACGTTTGAACCCAAGCTTGCCGCCACGTTAGGCTCGCCGGCTACGCGAGGCACTGAAGCTGACCCGTCACCGTACTGTATAACGCTTACCGACGACCAACAGGTGCTACTAGTCAGTCAAAGCCCATCAGAGACCAACAAGTCCCATTGTCGCGACCTCAGGACAATCCTAACCTATACAATCCTACCTGCGTTCAGCTTCACGTGTCTCCGCAGCCGAGCCTCAGGTGGTTCGCACGTGTATCTGGCCAACTTCACCAACCTCGTGTCCTCAAGGGTGCGCGGTTGCATGCGAAAGGGAGCAGTTGCCACGGTAACGGGTTGCTCCTTAACTTGACCTACACCCACGTATCAAACCTGAGCTCGGCTATCCCACATTGAACCCTCTGGGCTACTCTACACTCTAGGTGTAGGCCAGTAGATCCCGAGCTTTCAGAGCTTGTTCACCGGTAACAGTGTAATCTACAGTGCTGATGATCGACTGGTCATTTTTCTCCACTTACACTCTGCAGTTACATCTCAGTTGAAAACCATAGCATTTACTCTGGTTTGAGAGAAAGTTTTCTTCTTGTTTGGGTGAAACATTTGTCCTTAAATGTTTTATATTTTGTACATTTGTATGTAACATATCATGTAAATAGACAGAGACAGTGATTTAACTCATCTGGAGGATTTTGTAGTCTTTGTAAAGCCCTAATAAATGGTATTTGGTGTCACACGAGCAAACGACACGCTGAGCTCTTGTCTTTTGTGTCCATTGAGAAGCATTTGTGTAGTAACATTATAGAACATCTAACAAATCAAACCTTATATTTTGAGGACAGGATTATATGTGCTAGTGACACACTATGAATTGAATGTGTCCATGAAGTCACAGTTTGAAAGCTCTGACTGGTAAAGATTGCACTTGTCATGTCTTGTGTTGGCAGATCGGGAGGCACAGACTGCTGTGTCCAGTGGGTAACAAGCTGATGGTGATGTGTTTGTGACATCTAGTGTTTAAACACAAATGAGCAAAGATAAAATAAGGTAACATAAAACAACACAACATAAGATAAGATAATTCTTTATTCATTCCACAATGGGGAAATTTACAGCAGCAAAGAGGGTGGATATAATTAGAAAAAGAAATAAAAACTAATATTAACTCAATGATATTTGCCTTTGTTAAATAATGAAATAGAGTTTAATAACACTTGCTTTTTGGCGTTATTTTGTAGGATATCTCTTCAATCAACTTGACTTTAATGCCAAGGTTTACAATTAGCTGCCTTCTTTCTTGATCCTATGTTTTTTTTTTTTCCTGTATCATGTTTTCCTACTTTTTGCAAAATACTATTAAAAATATATATATTAATATAATTGTTTCCAGTGGTAAACAACGGACAAACTGTATTTATTGCACAATCCCTCGCCTGGTTGTTTTTTTTATATATAAAATAAATAATAAACCCCTGCAAATTCCTTGTATGTGTAACTGCTTGGCAATAAAACCGACACTCCGTACCAGCAGGTGGCGGTAATGCGCCAAATAGTTGTTTGCCAACCGCCCATAAAACCCAATAGAAGAAGAAGAGACAGGAAACCGACGCAAACATGGGACTGAGCTCAACTCCTGCGACTGAGTCCGGAGAAGACGCGAGGATGTTTAAATCAGAAGCTCCGGTGTCTTTGCCCAAACACTCGTACTGGTTTGACTTCTGGGTGTTTGTACTCTTCGACATCGCCTTCTTCCTCGTCATGTATTTCATCGTCCCGTAGCCACAGGTGAGTGAGACTCGTGAGCTTCCGGCTGTTAGCAGCGGGCGGCTACGGAAGTCTCCGCAGCTCACGAGCCGATAACGCAGTTAAAAGTGATGAATGAAGCTGGCACCGCTTGATTTGGTCATTTTGAGGCGTCATTGATAAACTTGTGTTTCAGGTTTCACTTTCCAAGACCCAGAAGTATTTGATCTATTCGGTACTCACCGTAAGTACTACCTGTCTGAGTTAGCCTGTAGTACCATGTGATGAACAGCTGAGGTCACCACTGAGCTATCGTTAGCGTGCACTCTACTGATGATGTCCTTCATTCATCTGCTCTTGTTGTGTGATGTGAGGTTGTGACTGTTCTTTCATTCATGCATTAACTTCACCACAAGAGGAGTGTACTGTTTACACAAAGTGTTGTTAATAACTGACTGTAATATGTTCTGAGTGCTCCCATGAGAGTGATGCAACCTATGATTGTTTTATCAAGCATGTAATGATATGAATCCTGCGATTACTTTCATTTTAACCGGATTCACTATTATTACAACACGCATCATCTCAAGACACTTAACATAGCAAGTCAAAACTCGACGCCTTACTACATCATAGACCAACTCTATGAGCAAGCCCAGCAGGAACAGCTGTGTAACTGTCTTGTGTAAGCGCTACTCACAGATGTAATGATTTGTTCATTATAAAAACACCAGTATGTAGTAGTAATGAATACAGTAACCCTGATGAGGATAAAGGATGTGATAATGATAATTATTGTTGTTAGCGTGTGGGTGATCAAGTAATGTGATGAAAATATGAGGAGCAGACGTAAAGACAGAAGTGTTTCTGCAGCAGAAAGTTGCTTTAGAAATCTTGATTTGTTTGAACAAATAAACCAAAACATGCTCAGTATAATTCTATGGAAACAAGAAACGCTGCAGATCGTCACATTTGAAAACAAATGTTTTGTTTGGTTGCTTGTGATAAAAAAATTACTTTATTTTCTATCTGTCCAATGATCATGCCATAAATTCAGCTCCAGTTCAGATTGCCTGGGACACTTCTGTAAAAGCTTCCCTTGATTGGGACTTTTCAATTACCCACGTTGCATCTGGTTGATATGGGCATCGACATTCTGAGACACCCTGTGTTCACCCATCAACCAAACTACCTTACGTTTTCCTCTAAACTGAATATCCCCTGTACCTTTGTGTACCTCACAGTATTTTTGCCCCTTGTTTTTGTTAAAGGTTTGTCTCCTGGGCTGTGGAGCCTGAAGACACTGAGTGCTGGTCCCGCCCTGTCGTGAAGAATGCTAACCCAGCTTTGACTGACTTCTGCTGCTGTGTTATCTAAAACAACATCTCATGGTTCCACGCCTCGCACCGCGTACCCGCAGGTTTTATACACGCAGCCTCCTGCTTTCATATCAAAGATTTGAACCACACAACTCCCTCCTCCTGTGACCTGTTGCCAGCTGCTGTAACTTCACGTGTGGATTTATTTCGTTGCCACGTGGAAGAGAAACATTTGAAATATTTATGATTGATTGAAAAGTGGCAATGGCATCATCAGGACTTGGATACTGAACATGTAATATCACTCAAATTCTATTTTAAGTATTCTCATTAATATAGATGTAACCCAGTAGAGTGAAACTGAGCAAGATGTCACTGAAACAAAATTAATGTTGACACAAAGTGATTGTATCATATTTTACGTGTTTTACATGAATGTCTCCAAATATTTTGATCAACACCTGAGTCCTGGAAAGAAACGATCAATCTCAACCCTAACAGGTTTGATGAGATCAAGATGATCCAGTGTGGGGTCACTTAAGAATGAGGTCAAAAATTTTAACTCACATGTGTAGTTTCGCTGCACTAAAATGATGAAAGTTTGCACAGGGAAAATACTGCAAATAAAGTGTTTATACCAACCCCTCAGTGGAGCTCATCTGATTGTAGTTAGCGGTACAGTTCAAGTATATATTATCACATAACAGTGTCACCCATGGGTGTTTTTGAGCATTACTTAATCTGAACGTGAAATGTAAAAAAAGTATTTCTTAAACATGTCTTTATAATTTTTTTAATATGAGCAAGTTATTAGTACCATGATGAAAAGGTTACGGTACTTGCTATTCACTCAACTCTCAATGATTTAAAAAGAAGAATATATCGGCACGTTATGAGTGCAGTAATGAAAAGGTCACCTCTTGAGGATTTTAGTAAAACTTTATAATAATTGGAGGAAGTTGGATGCCTGAAAGAAAAATATTTTCCCTTTCATTTTCTCTAGATTTCTGCAGTTAATTTACTTCACATTTTAGATGTAGATAGTGGGGGTCATCTTGAACAAATGTGAAGTGAAAATCCCTCTCAGCTCCTTGAGGATTGTTTTTTAAATGAATATTTAATAGGATGCCTTAATGGAAAAGCAGCTGACTTTCTCTGTAATTGTCTCTAAATTTCTGCAGTAAAATGACTTGAAAGCTGATGTGAACCTCATGAGGATTCTTTAAAAAGGATCATTTACTTTCTGTAGAGAGAAATCGTCTGAAACTTGACACACAGACAGTTGAAACATGTCTGCCACCTCTCAATGATTTAAATAAGATGTAGCAGGAGCACGCTCTGAGTGCTGTGATGACAAAGTGACTGCAGTAAAATGTTTTTTAACTTGACACAGTGACAGTGGGGGGTCTCCATGAACCAGAGTGTCACCTTTAAATGATCTTTGAATAAATAGATTTAATATGAGCGACATGGTGAAAAGTAGTTTCTTCTATAACAAGTGACGGTAAACAGCTCCTAGCACCTGTACCGTAACATCTTAAATAGACAAGCACCTGTACCGTAACATCTTAAATAGACGCGCATCAATTTTCAAAGTGTGGCCGGAGTAACCCTGCGTCCACACTCGGTGGACCTCGTGCCCGCTGCGTGGTTCACCAGCGACTGTGAGAGACCTCATATCGTGTGAACGATGCAGAACACTGACTGCTCCTCTCTGGACAACACAGGTCAGTCTCTCTGGGCTTCTTCTCCGAGCAGCTAGCAGCTAACTAGCCCTCTAGCTTAGCGTTAGCACGTAGCTCCAGCTATCGGGAAAAGCGTGTGGCTCGCTCACCCAACATCACCGAGAAGTGTAATCGTAGTAAGTTATTACACGTTATTTCTGATTCTGTCACGTTTGAAACCAGACGTGTTAAAGCTGCGTCATCCAGTGTTTGGCTAAGATGCTAACTTAGCTCAACGAGGAGCCCAGCAGAGTTGTTAGCTCATGCTGCTTGGTGCTTGTCATCATGTGTCACGTTGTGTGAAGTGAACCTCTATGTTTGTCATGTTATCTCCAAACGAGAGGCTGTTGTGTCATCACTGCAGTTTACAGAGAACTAAAACCAAATCTGATGAAGTTTTCTCCACAAGTTTCACTTTGCACGAAGCTCTATGTGCCTTTTACGTTGTGTCAGAGTTTATAAAAGTTTCTCTATCGATCTGAAATATGTATCTAGCGTGTGATACAGAAGGTTAACACACTGGTGTCATAGGAAATGTTTTGCTGGTTCATTTTCACGCTGGTCGAGTCACAGGATCAACAAAGGGAACCAAACTCTGGAGTGTTGATTGAGGAAGAGATGAGCTAATGAAGTTTGAACTTGTAGAGAGGACTGTACAGATGGATGGGTCTTATCTCTCTCAATATAGGTCACAGAGAAATTGCTGTCATCCCCAGTATTTAAAAAATTATGATAACAGTTAATGTTGAAAATCTTTAACACCTCCAGAAAGTTTAGTCTGTGGTTTTCGAGTTGTATTATATCACATATCACAAATACAACACAGTGGAATCAAAGTTAAGCTTCATAAAATGTCATTAAAAATGTTTCTCATGAACGAATGAGCAAGAAAACTTTCTGCAATGATGCAAAACATAAGTGTGATGATTTTGAATGGAATGACACTATTGTAAGATATGCACACATTCGAGTTATGTTGTACTGCACAAAAAACGTCATCATGACCCCTCTGTCTGTACAGACGTCTTCCTGCCGCTGTCGTCGCTGAGGCTGCTGATCCCTCCTCTGCGGCTGCTCTCTGCTGCGATGTGGCAGGTGGCTCAGCGGAGAGACCATCTCGATTATGAAAAGCTGGAGGAGTTTGTGTCACTGGTGACAGCCACGGTTCCAGACCTGCTCAGTCCAAAGCAACGAGGCAAACTGCTGCTCCGACTGCGATCCAAAGTGAGTCGGTGGGTTTCAGCTGAGATCAAGTGACAAAGCATCCAACTGTCATGTCACTCTTAATGGAAACAGCCGATTTAATGTCTTGCTGTCTCTCTTCAGATGATTCTTGAGCTGTGTAGAAATGAGGAAACCGCCGACACGTTGTGTATACAGCCGCACCTAGAACGAATCCGCCCACCAGGTCACACAGGGGTAAGTCTGAGCAATGTTTTTTCGCAATGGCCTCATTACAACTCCCAAAAGAACAGGTGACAACGCGTCAGTGCTGTCTGTGCATGTCACATGTCAGAAAGTGATGGCGTGTCCTGTCCCTTATGAACGTCCTGATGTAGCGTTGATGCTTATACTGTTTGGAGATGGTCCCAGAGTCAATGACAGTATATTTCAGAGTGGCGATGCAGAGCTGGATGCAGAAGAGGCCATTTTTGTGGAGCTTGTCCAAACACTCCTCAAAGACCCAGCAGAGAGGAAACATTTTTACCAGGTAAGAACACTTCACGTAAAACACACGATTTTATTGTTGTCGTGCGCTTGATTGTTTTCTGTCATTTTACCCCCACTGTTGGATTTCTGAATAATTGTTACTTTTGTCCTTCTCAGGAGGTTTTCCCAGCAGAATATGGTCTCAGCTACGACACAGACATGCAGCTGCTTGTGTGGGAGTTTCTTTCCAAACTGGAGAAGCTTCTGCCAGTACCAGACCTCGCTCAGGTGGGAAATGACAAGATAGATAGATAGATAGATAGATAGATAGACAGA